GAGGCAGGAATAAACAAAAGAATGGAAAAATATTTTAAATAAACAGTTTCGTTGGAATGGAGTCATTTGTGCGTGTTCAGAGTCGGTCTCTTTTTCCTTATCAAAAGCATCTCGTAAATAAGGCACTCAAATTTTCCGTGGCATTTCTTTAAGATGGTAAACTGCTCGTGAAGATTGGTAGGTCTTTGATTGTGTTTATCCTGTAGGTGTTTACCGATGACGGAATACTTATGCTCCTCGATGCGCAGGTGGAGGTGACGGCTCATGTAGCCTATGTAATTCGAATCACACGAATAACATTGAAATTCATACACAACGCATTGTTGGTTTACAAGTGAAGGCTTTGTTTCCGTAACTTTTAATTTGTCACTTACAATTGTATAGATAACGTTCACTATCTTGTTATAATTTGCATTTGATAATGATGACATGTCGTCGCCGAAACGTCATGTTTTTATATCGCTACTCTTTATTCTAAAATAACTACTAAGCAATTCTAATTCTGTGCATTCAAATATCAGAAAGAAGAGAAGAGGGGAACATCTAGATACCTACAGTGCCCATTAATTTAATGTAAAAAAAGTTATTCACTAAACCAGATTTATCTAAAATAAATCAAATCAAAGAGGAAGTCAGAAAGATAAAGTACATGAAGAATTATAATATTGATTAAGATAGTTATGTGAAAGTGCTTTTTCAAACATTTGTTTAGTTGGTTTTTCTCTAATAGGTTGAGGAATATCGCTCCAGATATACCTATCGATAACTGTTGGACAAAATTTCCTGAGATTTGTTCGAAAAGAAGGTATTGACAGAAGGTTGTGGGGTACACTTTGAGTGTTATAATCATGCAGCTCGGACACTAACGAGAGATTTTAGTTCGAATGTTTTTTAGCATTAAAATAGTCATAGAGAAGAAAAGATGTATTGAGTTTGTCAATGTCAGAAACTTTCAGTCCCAAAGCGGTATAATAAGGAGTAATCGGTTCCATTAGAGGAACATCATTAATATTTATTATGCGAACCGCTTTGTTTTGTAATTTTACCACTTTAGAAAGTAGTGCATTATAATTATTTCCCCAGAGTGCGTAACCTTATGCAAGATTTGGATAAATAGGAGAATAATGTATACATAAGTGTGGTGATCATCAGGTGAGGCCTTAACTCTGTTAGGATCTTCAGATTTTTACAAATTTTACTACTTATGAAATAAATATGGTCATGCCAAGTTAGATGAAAGTCTATATAAACACCTAGGTACTTGATAAATGAAGATTGCTCTAAACAAATGTTTGCTATTTTTAATGGTTGATTTTTCTTTCACCGAGGTATAAAGATGATATATTTAGTTTTGGAAAGATTTGAGGCCGGGTTGGTTTGTTGCCACATAACCATTCATAAACAGTACGTAGACGGTTATCTACGTTATCTAATAGAATGTCGAGACTGGTTCCAGAGGCTGTTAGAAAAATAAGTAGTTGACTTAGGAAAATCTTTGATATAGATAAGAAATAGTAGAGGTCCCGGCCTAATATGGAACATTGGGGTACGCCAGAAAAGATGGGCCTAATTTTCCCTATACAAAATTCTTATTTATTGAATTTACCCTTGCCGACAGGAGAAATCTTTCAGGCACACGGTCAGAATCGGCCTGTGGTAAATTTCCAGTTGTCAATTTTCGTCATCGACATCCACAACACTCTTATTGCAACACTCTCGATTTTTCTCTCTGTTGTTGCTGATTCACTCACTGATTCACTCACAAAGATATAAAATGAGTCACAACTTTTTCAGATGTATACTGTTCTTAAATAGTCCTGCCAACAAAAAATATTTACTTTTGCTCAGTAAAAGATGTTTATTTTGGCATTCTGGTTTGCAAGGGGATCTGTGTTCTGTGTGAAGAAAGACAATACATACAGCTGTCATGAATTAGTTGTTCAAAATGTTTAAGTTATTCGGCCAGAAAGTTTTCGCTGATAATCAATTACTCGATTTCGTCGAGTTATCGACATCCACAATAAAAGTTTAAACTTTAGAGTAAGTAGCCTTCTATTGGTTTGTAATGCATTGAGATATTCCTCCATCTAAAGGTGTTTCAAATTGTGTTATTAGAACAGGAATCTGACAACTCTATTGAAATCTAGGGGGAAACGAAAATCGTTATCATTATCTAAGATTTCGATAATAACTGATGAAGAGCTTAAGGAACCGAACACTGCTTGCAATAAAACATATTTAGTTCCTCTTTAGTTAAAGTAACAAGAGTAAAGTAAAGAATATCGCAGTGATGGTTTCAGCTACCGGCCAAAGGAACTCGTGATTGTTACAGCTTAGAGGCCAAACAGAAGTTCAAATGACAGTTTAAAAGGTTAAACCTTTCGCGCAAAAGCTGTGGTACGGGTTCTATCAGACAAAAAAATGTTGAAGCCAGAGAAAGTTCATGTTTACATGACTGGAACTAGCACCGGTCCAGTGCTAGATGTAAGCGACAAGACTGAAGATTTACACTTACTCTTGACGCTTATATCAGGCACTGAACCGGAATTGAAGTTAATATCCTAGTTAATAATAGCCGGGGTGACCCTGATATGCATCTTTCATTTACTGTAAACTACTTTTAACTTATAAGGAGCTTCACACCTAGAAAATATAATTAACCTAGTCGATTCAAAATAAGATGAACAGTTTTAAAGATTAAAGTAAACATGATTTAAAGTAGATTCAACATCAGCTCTTAACTAAAGATTCGAATAGGTAGGCCTAATCCGGCAATGCGAGCTTCAAAAGTCCATTTAATTAACAAATAGAGAAGCCTAGAGTGTGCTCTGTTCTGTTATAAAGCACTTGAGAAGCGGCTAGAGCACTCAATGCATAATTTTTTCCGTGTTAACATACCTATACTTCCATCTAAACACGAGGGAGAGTTGAGAGAATCCGTCAAAGTTATGCAAACCCTCGACAGCGTCTTGGGTTTGCATAACTTTTGAGGACGGAGGACATAGCTAAAATCTTTATATTAATCTCAACATTGATTTCGTAAGGCTCCATATAGAATACCTCGCATTAACCGGCTATGCACGCTTCAATTCTGGGAACGAAATGAAAATGTGTCGTGTGGTTTAAACCGAACTAGATATGAATTATGTGTGCATTAGCTCTTGGGCTGCAGCAGGAACATCGACTTAATCGGTGAGTTGCTTCTCTCCACCTTTGCTTCACCAAAAACAAACTGAATTTCATGCCCTTAGCCAAGGAAGAAGTCAAATTCTGGCAGCGGCAAATAGTGCAAAAATCTACACTGAACTGAGTCGAAAACAGAAGTTTCATTCAAACTAATTGAAACTGTATTCAATACAACTTTCGAAAATGACAAATTCAAAAGATTTAAGCGGTCAAAAGATAATTAACATGAAAATTCAAAGTCCATAAACCTCAGAAAAAGCCCAAAGATTTATCATGCAGTAGATATCAAAAGTAATGACTCATCAGACAGCGCTTACGTCCAACATTAAAATTTTTCTTTGCCCAATATTTGTGACCCATAAATTGCAACTAAATGTCCTCAGAACAATTGATATTCTACCAAATGAATGCAACAAACGGGCTAAATCTCCATGGTCTTTTTATGTTTCAATTAAAACACATGATGCTTTGGTTTTGAATTAGACTGAGAAAAATGGAAATTCATCTCACAAATTTCTCTGTATCCCGTTTTGTTAGCGGTCGACGTGGGTCGAGTTTTACCGGGATGTGGCATTCTGTGCCTCCATGAGGTCAAAAGACCCGCTCCTGCGAGCGGGATGCGTAATTGTGCACCCAAAATCACTGAGGGTGAGTTGTATATCATATCATTGTTATGTCTGTAAGGAAATATACACATAGAAACATTACCATGGTTAAAAAGCATTAATAGGAAATAAGAAACCTGTATTGCAGAACAACGACGGTTGTGATTTTGCCGACGTTATCCTGATACCATTTTGGACAGAAAAATGCGGCAGGTGAACCCTTCCATTCACAGACTAACTTCCTACAACCCTTGGCAGATCTTTTTTACAAAACTAATGGAACAAAAGCGTGCTGTACTTATAGGTAATTATTTGGAAGTGATGCTGTCAAAATCTACCAACTTCACTTTTCATGTAAGCAGACGTCGCATTATTTTTTGGCACTTGGGCGCGCTTCGAGAAAAGTTTGGCAGAACTGAGCGAATCTGTTCGTTTGTGTAACAATAGGCATTGTTTGCTACTTGCCTCGTTTCAGTGTCAACTTAAGCGAAGCTACTAAGTGGCAGGTATTACAAAAAATAAAGTAGACTTAGTTCCTTGAGCCGTGTGATTTCTTCGTAAGTAAACAGCTTGCTCCGAAGGTTCATATTTCTAGAGATATTGCTATGAATAATTCTTTCAACGATTCAACACATAGTACATGTCAAATTAAGACAACTTGTAAAATAGATCAAAAGGGAGTCTCGTTGTGCTTTTAATTCATGAATTCGCTGATACCTGCTACATTATAATAATAATAATAATAATAATAATAATAATAATAATAAAGACTTTATTACGGTCTATCCATAGAATCGCTCTTCACCCGAGTAAACTAACTAAGTTTATCTACACTAAAAAACTAACAAATTCATGATGATAATATACAATTAATAATTATAATACAAAGCATTTGGAATTAAGACCGAGCAAATTGCGATAGACGAGACTTCACAAAAGTAAAGGCCTGTTTTGAAAATGATTTGCTGTCCACACACGATTTTGTTCCTGAAGGCAGCGTTTTGAAGATCCGGGCAGTAGTGTTCTGAAAAGTATTACTAACATGCGAAACCACCAGGTTAACTGTACTATTTGATCTAAGAAGTCGCGTGTGTTTCACCTTTTCGAGT